ACGAAGTTGCGCCTGTTACCCCGCCCCTTGATCATCGTTCAAGATTTTGTGACTTGGTCCACATAAGCCGTATGAAACCTTACTATCGTCGCGATACGTAAGCCTCTCAAACGCACCAGATGACCGGTGCCTGCACCGACGGGGCGAATATTGTTAGGAAGAAGAAGTGGTACCGCAGAGTGGCGCGCGCTCGACGAGCATTCAGAGAGCTCGGACTGTTCCCGGACGAATGTCAGCCCTACTATCCATCCTGTATCTAATCATTCCTCATTAAATCACCCTATATTTGTAACCTAATAATATATATATGTTTTATTTTTTGAACTATATTGTTGTTACTTTAATTTGTTTGATCTTCATTCCACAAAAGCCTCATATGGGAGCAACCGTAGTATACGCCAGTGACTAGACCAGAATTTACAAATATGTACCTTAGCGAAACATTTGCTGCCCATTTATTCATTTTATTTATTGAAATGTCGATTGTTTTCCAGGTAAATCATTTCGAGTTTAAATAATGCCCAATACACAATTCGGTTTTCGGAAACTACAATTTTTACAAGTTAATATTCCCACGTTCCGTTTCAGAAGACGCGTTAAAACTTAAGATTCGTGAATATGAATCTGTATTTTCTCCCATGAACAGATCGAAGTGAGCGAGGCTTTATTATTACTATTATTTTTTTCATCTCTGAAACAAGGAACGTGACATTTCAGCAATGGAGGTTTATACCCAATTCTATTGTCTACAGAGCGCATGCGCTGCTGTCTACAGAGCGCAAGCGTAGACAATTTACCTCTAGCAAATCTGGTTTTTGCGCACGCGCGGTGCCCGCACCTGGTGTGGCCGGAGACGGCGGGCTTGTTTGTAATAAGGCAGGTGGACCTAGAGTTAGTTTCAATGTCTGTGATCCTGACAAGCTCTCATGCCCGTGAAACGCAGCATATATACGTAACATTGGCAGTCCCCGGGAGGCACATAGACCTCCGTAAAAATCGTCTTCTGCGCGCTGCCATCTTTTTCTGCTGGGCTATGGAACGCCTTCTGAGCATGCGCTGTTGCTTTGGTATGTGAGACGCTGCGCATGCATTCACATCATGGTGACGCAGCATTTTTCGCCCGGGTGATAAGCTATGGAAAGGTCTATACGCACTTCAGCATTTAGTCCGACCACAGCCAAGGCCACGATCCCACGGAGCCAACCAAGCAGAACCAAACGTGCATGGTCGTGTCACTCGTCGTCCTCATGTGTCTGCTCTTGCCGGCTAGACCAATCGAGCAGAGAAAGACTCACGACGCATTCACACTGCGTGATTGGTCTAGCAGGTGATAGCAAACGCACAAAGACGACGGGTGCCATGACAGTACACTCTTTTATTGGCTTGATGGGATCGTATTGTTGGCCGCAGTCGATGTTCATGTGAAACTGCTCTCCATTCTTTTCGAGAACAAAAGTCCTAACTTCATTACGCCCCTAGCAGCATCCATGGGGTGTACTCTCATTACTTAACCCCTCTCTTGAACCCTCCTATACCCTGTTTACTCTTAGGCTGAGACTAGAAGCTCCGCCTTGAGCGCGAGCTCGCTGCTTCCACGGTACTTTGGTTGCGCGTGCCTGCGCGTTCATACGTGCGTCAGCGAGGGCAGAAAGCTCGCGCTGAAGGCGGAGTTTGTACACTTAGCTTAAGAGTGAACGGGGTATACACCAACTCATGTTTACAAACAAACCGGAGCGCCCCTAGCGGACGCCACCGGCGCCGCGCATGCGCGGTGGATGGTGGGCAAAAAGCCCGCCGTGGCCCATAAACAAACCATTGAATTGCGTTGTTGTCGGCGTCGGTGGGAGTCCCCGTGCTCTTTTTCACGTTAGAATTGTTGATTCTACGTCCTCCTAACAATGTCTGACTACTTGAGCGGCTTCAGCAAAACTATTGAGGCAATACTTTGCGTGAATAATGTGACGTGGGGCGATTCATTTCACGTGGACGCCGCAGAATGGGCGCTAAAGCCTGACTCCCACGATGAGATTCTGCTCGCTATTTTCAGTCGCGACGTCGCTCGGACTGCAAAAGCGTGGACCGTAGCTGAGATGGTTGACGTCGATACTGAAAACCGCAAGTAGAGTCGGGCATTACAAGTCGGAGATGGCCACTGGTAACAATGATCAACAACTTCTTGTATCTGTTTACACCTTAGCCTACTTACCCCAAACCAACCTTCAAAAGTGTTTTGAGACCTGCACTTAGTTCTTATCGCAATTACCGGGTCAACGTTTGGTTTACGGGCCGCTGTCGTTTGAACGAGCTGACGACAAAAAGCAGCCAAGTTTGAAAGAGCAGACGACAGTTCGAACCCACGCGCAATGGAGTACGGGCAAGAAGCACCGCGTCCCGCGTCAACAAACCATTCGAATGTCACGTTGTCGGCGTCCTGTGTGAGTCTGCATACTCTTGTCGCGTTGGCGTTGTCGATTCTACGTCCTCATCGCAGTGTCTTACCACTTTAATCGCCTGAGCGAAATTATCAAGGTTCGTTACGCCGCTAAACTTTCCGTAAATAATTTGACGTGCGGAGATTCATTCGCATGAACGCCGCAGAATGGACGCCAAAACCATGATGAGATTCTTGTAGCTATTTTCGGTCGCGACGTCGCTGCAAAAGTGTAAAAGGTAGCGGCGATGATCGACGTCGATACTGAAACTCGAAAGCGGGAACAGACCAAGCGTAACAAGTAGGTGATGGCCACCGGTACCAATAATTAACATCTTGTATCTACTGTTTACACCGAGCCTACTTAAGCCTTTTGAGGCCTGCAATTACTTGTTATTGCAATCACCGGGTCAAAGTTTGGTCTACGGGCCGCTTTTGTTTGAACGAGCCGACGACAAAAAGCAGACAACTTTGAAAGAGCAGACGAAAGTTCGAACGATCAGGCGGCCGTGTGAATTTGAAGACGCACTGAACCCGTGGGTGGTCCGGAACACTCGGGTGTTTTCTCTCGTTCATGTTGGAACAAAGCAAATACATCTGGCGACCACAAATTGTGGCCCGCACACGCAATCGTAGTTCGACAGCGTCTGGTTTGCCCTTTTCACAGCTACTATCCACGTTCTCGGACGAACGGAGGGTGCAAAAACACATGAAAACTGATCTTCAAACCTTTACGGACTCTATTGGTAAAGCCCCCACCGCAACATTTTGACGAGATGGCAGGTTTTTTGTCTCGTTTCTTCCAAAGGAACACGGGAATGCATGTCTGGCACGGCGACTTCTGCCCACCGCCCCAGACCGGAAGTGCGTCCGGCGCGCCACCACCGCGGCGTGACGTAGGATAGTTGAGTTGGTGTATACCACCCTTCTCACGCACCTTCATGTCTTAAAGGGGGAAAGAGGGTGTTTTAGTCATGTTGGACACCTTTCTAACACCCTTCATATTAAAACTGACGGTGCTAGAAGGGTGTTTGAGTATCATTACATATATAATGGTGTAAAAAAAGTTAGTGTTAGCGCCATTTTCTTGCGTTTCTTACGTTACGTATAAGTGACCGAAACAGTCGTGTCTTGGATGTCGCGTGTTAGGCTATCTCCTTGTGCTGATAGCCACGCTTAACATGGAGCACAGGTGTCCCGCTGACTTGTACGTAAGCTTTTGTAACGCAACGCTAGAAAGCCGAGCTTTGTGAACGACTTTAGTGTGAACCAGCTTTTGAATGAAGATTTCGTGTTATTTGCCTAAATTTATAATTGTATGAAGTAAGTTAATAAGAGGCCCTCGCTTTTTACCTCGCAAAAGTTAGAGACATTTTGATATAGCCAGCCGGCAAGAGCCAGGCGGCGCCGGCAGAGTGAGAGCCCACGGTCATACCGTGTCTCGCTGTAACTTGGTAAAGAGGAAATGATAAACCCCAATTGCGTGCCGACGGCTTCGAAATGCGCGACGTATGACGCAGCAAAAAGCCTGATACTTGCTCGGAGTTGAGGCGCTCTCCGGTGATACGCAGTTACGTCCCCATTGGCCCGCCAGGGCCGTAGCTTCCGCTGTACTAACATGTTACGCGATCACGGCTTCCTGGGATACCCAGTATTTCTTGCTTCAGACACTAGACTAAGCGGCGCCACCGGAGTAATAGCTCACAGTTGAACAATACAGCCGCCACTTCCAGGGATACCCAATATTTCTTGCTTCAGTCGCCAGATAGCGCCAAACCAAACAGCATTGCACGTTGCCTATACCAAGCAAGGGGCCATTATTGAATCGAAAAATACGCGCTTTGCGGAATTAAGATATTTTATTATTTTACCAAACCAGATACACAGCGAGAAAAAAAAAATGGCTCGACATCATGCTGTTTATCAGTCTAGACCGTCGTACCAACAGCGCCCATATCAGTACTAGTTGGTTGCATAAAATGCTCAGTCAGCCTAAAGTAGCGAACAGGAATTAAAATCAAATATACAATAAATACTAATAAACAAAAATACCCAGAGTAACTATGACTCAGCCATGCGTGCACTGTCGACAGCCGGGGAGACTGTTAGTTCTACCCAACGCCAGACTTCCCCATGGAAGAAAGCCGAAGGAGGCCGAAGTCTCTTAACGTTTTTTCTTTGCTGTTATTGGCTCAATAAAAATGACTCTAGAATTAAAAATAAATTTTAAACATACTTGGTTGGTTCATTGGGGTTTTATTCTGCGAGGGCTGCTAAGCTAAAATTACGCCAAGTGTATCAAACACCGCTGTAGTAAACTTGATAAAGCGTTTGCGATTTTTCCCGCTTAAATCATCTACCTCTCGTATAAATCACTTTTGGCCAAAACCAATGCATTAAAATGACAAATTGCTGACCAGGTATTCACATTTCAGTAGTTTAATTGAAATACTACCAAGTGCTGGACTGTGATCCTCTGTCGGAATCGGGGAAAAAAACAAACAAAGAAACGTAAGAATATAATCGTTTGTCTTGTCTACTCCTGATTTAATTTCTTCGTTTCGCACAGGGCCTCCACTGCGTCGAGATTCTGACCGGCCGAGTGCACCCGGGTCGTTGGAACCAGGCGCCATGTGACAAGTTCCGGCTTCATGTTTGCGAGAAGGCTCGAGGTAAACTTGTTCCAAAAGATAATCAGTTGAAAAAAAAAAAAAAAAAAAAAAAAAAACTTCGTTTTCTTGTTTTTGTAACATTTAAAAGTAGGGCGCAGACTTTTCGGTTTTAACTAGAAAGCACGCATAAACAACCGTGGGTTAGAAGAAAAACAAGACCGGATTAAAAAAAAAAACGAATAGCGATAAAGATTTATTACTCTGGAAAACTCAGGACTCAATTAAAACTTAAATCACCGTTAAACCTTAACTGGTGTAAAAATACGAAGCCAGTCAAAACCGCGGAACACCGATAAAAATCGACTGATCTGAAGAAAACAACATCAATGAATACGATAAACACAGGTTTCTAGAAATTTTGCTACAGCCATGACTGTTTTTCTTTAACTCTCAGCTTTCCATTACATTTTTGCACCAATAATCATTTTTCTAGCGTCGGGCGAAAGCAAATGCCAAAATGCCCAAATAAAAAAAAAAAAAAAAACCATCCAGCAATTTTTTATAAATAAAAACCGAAAAATTACGCCCTAGCTGAAACTAGGGTTCCGCGTTTTCTATAAACACAAATTAGACTCGAAAATTAGCCTCCTATAGTTGGCAAAATCAGGGGAAACCTAAACAACCCGATTTGAAGATGTCTTCTCATTATAATAAAGAACAAAAATATTCTAAGCTTCGACGGGAAGAAATCTTTTGTCTAGCGCTTGGAATAAAGTTTATTCTCCCTCTCTCTCTAGCTCTTTATTTTATGTTTATTTGGAGCACAACCCCCAGTGAACTCTTCGCGACGCTTATTCAATTTTTTTTATCGGTACACAGCGTCGTTTTTCAAGTATTCGGATGACTCGTTTCTTCCCTATAGACCACACTGATGTAAAAGAAATACAAATAGAAATAGAAATTTGCGCTTTTTAAACCACCATTTAGACTTCCCTATAGAATTTAAAGAGTCGCAGTCCTGTTTCCTACAGCGACAAGTACCGATATTTTATTGGAACCCAAATCCATGGGGAAAATAGAGAATGAAAAAATCAACCGCTGAATTTGAAGAAAACTAAACCCATAAAACACGGAATCTTAGTTATAACGTCAGACGAAAACCATGATGCTCAAAGCGTGGCTTGGCTAGGTTCTCGAGAGAGAGAGCGCTCGCAATTTATGACACCACGCTAATATCCCGCTGCAATTTCCAGTATTATAAGGACGGAGGCCTTTCACACACACAGCGCAGCGCCGAATCGGTCCTGGCGAACGGCGCGGATGCAGCTCTGACATTCACGGGACTTCGACGTAATTCCACAGTGGCGAGCGGCGATGCAGCATAGATGCATCGCTGATAGTCAGACAACCATGGGCACCGTTCTTCGGCACAGCATCAGCGTCTCATCGGCGCTGCGCTATATGTGTGAAGAAGCCTTGGGGCGCAAGAGAGCCTTACAGTGGCTTCAGTCAAACGCCAGTTAAGAATGCGTCGAATAAACACCATTACACACCAGTAACGGCATCGAATTGCTTCGCGCATCAACCAACAAAGGCAGTTGCCATGTCGAGTTAAGTGACATCAGCACGACGTGCGCCTCGTTAGCGTAGTATTGGCGAATCGCGGAGAACCAGTGGCTGGCGGTAATGAGGGTTCGGAAGGGGATTCTGGCGCAATCTTAACTTCATGTGACTATAGGCACCTTTAAAAAAAATACGGTTTTTTACGGTCGATTTGAAAATACTGCAAAGGGGCGTGCGCAAAGGACACGAGAACAATGACAAGTCCATTCATTGTATTTATACGGTCTTTGGGAAGTTAGTACTATATAAGGTATAGACTTGCCAGCTAGTTGGTGTCTGTTGCACACGCAACTTAGGAATATTTTCAGAACGACCGTGAGGGAGCGTAATTCTGGAGAGGTTTATAGGGTTTTTCCACGCTAAACGATCCAGGCCTAAATTCGACCCTCACGCATTCGGTCTAAACGATTTGTGTGTGTCATTGGTAAGCTAATTAAATATATACTTTTAAATTTTACAATAGGTCTTATAAAGAATTTTCAAATGCTTTTGAGGGTGGAGTTGCGTTAAAAATGTCATAAAAAAACGGTATTAACCTTTCATTTTCAAGACAATGCTACCATATAAAGACATAAAACTTATGTGTGTTAGTAGTGAGAGAAATAATATAATTATTGAGTCATTTCCATAAATATTTTGTGACTATGTTTCCTAAAATATATGGACAATATCGAACATATAGCGAAATTGTCAGTGTTGAAAAACTAAAACTACTAAAGGTAGTTGTTCTAAAAATATGTATTGAACGGTTATTGATAGTCTAGAGTTCACATATTAAACGATCGAGCAAAGTAAAAAAAGGAAAAGCATTTTTTTTTTCAAAAGCGACAAACTAATTTTTGAGTTATGTCTTGTCGCAGTATTTAATATTGTGCAAAATGCCAAAATGCTCGCTTTTAAAAGCGAAAATCAGAAGGTCTTGTATCCAGAAATATACACACTACGGCTGTATAATTGTAACTACAGACTTGCAAAGTTTGAAAAAAGTTGCATTTTATAAAAGCGAAAAAATTTCTTTTTAAGCTTAAAATAGTGAATATACGGGCTAGCAGATCGTTAACAGACATCGTAAAAAAGCAGCGCAAAAAATATGAGACACAGAAGCAGAACACAGGACGAGTGATAACTTGCAACTAAAAGGTTTATTGAAAAAAATTCCTCCCAGCAAACATATCTCGTGCACACACCCGTGGCTCAACGTCACAGCTACCTTGATGAGTGAAGACGACACAGCGTCGATGCAAAAAACGACGAAGTTATCTTCACGATTAAAGGCGGCAACAGAGACAGTGTTGTCACAATTCATGCATGTGCACTGCATAATATGTAGCGTCATGATGTAACAGGAACGGCGCAAAGAGTGCATTAAAAACAAACCACAATAAGGAAACAGCCTGTACCCTACGCAACCGAAATGCATAACAAGCCTAAGCCCTACCTACAGAATCGTACTCTTTTCCTGTTTTACTATGTTTCGGCCGGACTCCGGCCGAGACGTCGAAGAATAACTCGTCCGTTGTTGCAGTTTTCACCAAGGTTGTTTTATCTTCCCAGTTCATATATATATATGACATTTATTGCAACAACGACAAATTCATTTAAATCAGAGGATCTAGAATTGCCATTTAGTGCGATACAATGGGATACAATAGAGAGTGATTAATTGAAGTCCGATACAATAGGTAGTGATTGATAATACGTCACACTATTTGACGTTTGCATTTGTAGGACACGCTCGATATATTGGCTAACCGGTCTATTGATGAATCTTACGCTCTCTTGATGGATCATGGGGTCGTTAAGAAGGGAAGTCCGCGCCGTTTTGCCACTTTCTTCGTGCGGAATGCGAGCATGCTTCAGCAAGCTTACAGGCAGTGTGTCAAGCTTGGGAAACCTTGAAGTTCCTTTCAGTGCATGGTTCTCGTGGTCCATACATTCTTTGACAAATATGCAGTTGCGGTGAATAGTGAGATGAGTCGGTGCTTTATTTCAGGAATAAATACTCGGTGATATTAGGGTACATACATATCGCTACACATTTAGCCATTAAGACAAAATGACAGCCTCTTTTTATATTTTTCGTTTAGTATTGGGAATGTTGAATTACGGTAAGAGACGGCGAATTCTTGTGAGTCCTCTGCACACTCCGGATTCAGAAAATGTTATCAAAACTTCTTAAATAAGGGTAAAAACTTATTGGGGTCATTGATTTAAGTCGTAAAACAGTATACTTGTTAAGGATGTGTCTGAGTACTATGAGAACCAGCGCCCATGACGTATTCGCGCTAACTGCGCCGCGCAGTGGCCATGTAATGAACACATCATCCCAATCCACTTTGGGATCTTTGGATACCTCGCGGTCGGTGGAAAAGCTGCACTCTTGTGGTTATGACGTCCCATGAGGACTTTTACAGGGAGTTTTAAATGCGATAGCATTTGAAGCTCCATGGAAACATCGAATATGTTACTTTCCTTAATTTTATATTGCTGAGGTGTCGCCTACCAATAGAAATGAAATTCTGGAACACGTTCTGGTTCATCGTTTTCTCATCGTACTACACTTCTTTAATGATGCGTAAGCCGGGAGAATCATGCTTCACTCTACAGTGGCAGCCAGGCCGCCGAAGAGGTAGACGACGCGGCAAGCCGTGCGCCTGCTCCTCGCCAAGTCTAGGCATGTTCCTACGGCAGCTGAAGATCTGTGTTTTAACGGGAACTTTTCTGAAGATGAATGGGTGCGATGCAAGCGAGCGGTGACTTCATTTACACGCAGTGCTTATACGCACTACTTCGTCAGTGTGCCAATCGAAACCAAAACCATGCCACTCCTCTCGATCCACGGTCGAATTGGTCCCGTAATGCAATGCGCGCCGTTTTGCGTTCAGGGATTTTTGGAGGTAGCCTATTGTTCTTGAGGTCAGATAACTGTTTCCTGCGATTTCATATCAAGATTCCAATAGCTGGCAACCATGATTTTAAGTTTCAAGATGGCGCTTAGTCGCAGGCGAGGCGACTGGCTAGATCCAGTAAAACTGTCATCAACCGATGGGAAGGCAAAAGCCGTAAAATCCAAATAACTGAAGTGTTACTACACCGAAGCTTAGCCTATTGATTGACTCTGGCGCGTTTTTATCTCGGAAGACAAGGAGTGGAGCCGACTTGTTGCCAACACGATTATTTTTAGCGCCGATAATGAATCGTTTTTTCTCTTCTCTCCACAGACCCAACAGTACCCATTCCCAAGCCCGTTGAAGACCCCTCGTGCAGGCTTGCCCACCCGGGCTCCTTCCCGTACGGTACTTCGTGCTTTCACATGGGCTCCTACGAGGACTGGGACACCGCAGAAGCACACTGCGCGTCCAGCGGCGGGCACTTGGCCTCTGTACGAGACATCTACCAGGAATCCTTCTTCAGCGTTAGGTTCGAGTTCAGGGGAGGCCTGGTCTGGATTGGTTTGCAAGACGCCAAGGTACTTAGCAGTGCCAATCGTGATTCCGTACTTAATCAGATATTAGGAACTTTTATGAAATCGTTTCCCTGTTCCGCGTAACGCACTTCTTGGGCTTTGAAGCATTCTTTTAAGCGCGTTATACTGTTACCCATCTGATGCCCCCCCCTCCCCCCCCCCAAAAAAAAAAATCGTTTTAAAGTTTTTTAAGGTCGGTTCGCACAAAGGCGTTTGCTTACGATTTCTTACGTTACCAGTGTAGTCACTTGGACATTCGTGTTTCGTACGTCGCGTGCAAAGCTGCTCCTTGAACCGGTCGCCACGCTTCATTTAAAGCACGAATCTCAGTCCCTGTGACTCCCTACGTAAATGGCCGTAAGCGGTCGCATCGGTCAATAAATATAGAGGGCACCCTTTTTAAAAACGACATATAGTTGTGGTTTGATGACAGTGCGCACAAATTACTTGGTTAGTCTTGTGCGCGGCCAAAACTTCAGGTATCAGACGATTTTCGCAGTGCTACTGAGCGCACAAGCGCGAGTGATATAACTCTGTAAAACGCTTGAACTATATATATAAGAGTAACAAATTTATGCAAGTTGCCTCGGTCACAGAGACTGTGAAGTTTAACGAATGACAAGGCATAAAAGAAATACGTTTTTACTAACCAATAGTATCTTCGCTGTAACACGTAGAAGGACGTTTCGGATTTTCGCGGCGTGCTCATTGCAACAGCGCTGCTTCCAACTTTCAAATAAAAAAAAAAAATATATATTTTTTTTCGTGTGACGGCTTGAGTTTTCTACGCGGTTTGGTTAGTGGTTCGCTCTCAGTATGCATGTTTGTCAATAGTCACCGACAACCTAAAAAAACAAGGAGTGGCGAGATGTGAATATAATGAGCTACTGCTGGCATTTCTTAAGATGTTTTTTCTATACATGGCTTGCATTGACGTCACATCCGCGATCATTGTGGTGGCCTTACTGCTGAGCGCGTATCTTCTCAAGCCTACACTTTTCGCACGATCAAATTAGTTTTCCTTGGCAAGAACAAGTAGAAATTAATAACCAGCAGCATAATGTGACAATATCGCAAAAACCTGCAGGTGATGCAGCTTTTTGCCCAGCTACCGTCTTTCCTGGTGAATGAAAAAGAAATTGATTGATTGATTGATTGATTCATATGTGCGAGCCATCTATAGTTGCGCTAAGCCACGATGTTTATGATAGTGTCACGGGTGGTGACCAAAAATAACAAATAAACAGGAAGAAATAAACGTTTAATGTGGCGAACTTGTGCCAAAAATAAAAGAGTACAAAAGATAATAATAGAGCGTCGCGGGCGTCGAAGTCGGCGTGGCAGCAGAGTCGAACGCTGAAGCGAAACTGAGTCCGGCTTGCCTGCGGAGCCGCTTTTGTACACACGTTGGCTTCTGGAGCATTCGACGAAAAAGGTTCGACGCGTAGAAAATTCTGACCTCGAATCAGCTAGACGGTTCTCGGTTTCACCAGAACATCACATTACAGTGTTAACAAAAATGCATAGCCGCGTCCAGGAATCGAACCCTGGCCCTTCGCGTGGGAGGCAAGCGCGATAACCGTTAGGCTACGGCCGCGCTGCCTACTTGGCGCGCGGCATTACTCCCCCCTTAAAGGGAAACTGAAGCGGTTCTCTATTTTAGAAAAAAACATTTCAATGGCCTTCATTCTACCTCCAGGATCAGGAATATCAAGATTATTTTTCAATTTGGTGCACGGAGGCTTCAGAAATTAATTTTTAAAGTACCGCCGAAGCCCCTCCTTCCCGGGGCGTGACGTCACACTAGGAGCGTTCGGAATATCTGCTCTCGCGCATCTTCAGCGCCTGTCAAAGCTATGCACGCGCACTCTTGCTATTTTCAGAAAGGTCAGAAAGAGACGTCACGACCGGTGTCAGTGCGGGGAAATATACCTGGCAAGCTTGCCGTTGCAAGCGCTGAACGCACGAGCGACACGCGCTTGGCGGCCCGAAGATCCTAGTATGACGTCACGACTGGTCGAATGTTTTTTCGCTTTTTCTCGCTTTTAGTTGCATCTTCGGGGAAAACAAAAGTGATATTCAGATTCACGGGATAAAAATACGCCAGAATTCACCTCTAACTCGTTTGTTTCAAGAAGTGTTTCAGCTTCCCTTTAAAAAGTGCATCGCCCCGATGCATTTCAAAACAAAACAAAGCACATAAAAAGAACGGTAAACTAAAGAGTCACTTGAAACACATGAGATTCACAGTCCTATCAAGCGTAGTACGGCTTCAGGCGCACGACGTGGACGACTTCAGGTCGTGGTGGGCGGCGTGATGATGTTCTTGTTCCGTCGGGCATCACCTCGTAGTTCAGCTCGCCGAGGCGACGAAGTACCTTGTATGGTCCAAAGTGCCGTTTCAGCAGTTTCTCACTGAGGCCGCGGCGACGGATCGGCGTCCACACCCACACCCTGTCTCCGGGCTGGAAGTGAACGTCTCTGCGACGAAGGTTGTAGCGGCCCGCGTCGACGCGTTGCTGGTCTTGAATCATGAGTCGGGCGAGCTGGCGGACTTCTTCGGCGCGTTGAGCAACCGCCTGGGCGTCGTCGCTCTCATTGTCAGATGGCTCATGGGGCAGCATTGCGTCCAGCATGGTCGTTACCTTCCGACCATGTACCAGCTGGAAAGAGGTGAATCCAGTGGTCTCCTGAACCGCCGTATTGTAGGCAAACGTGACGTAGGGCAACACCTCGTCCCACGTCTTGTGCTCTACGTCGACTTACATAGAGATCATATCGGCGATTGTCTTGTTGAGTCGCTCGGTCAGCCCGTTGGTCTGCGGGTGGTATGCAGTGGTTCGACGATGGCCGGTGCCACTGAGACGAAGGATCTCTTGCGTCAGCTGGGCCATGAACGAAGATCCGCGATCTGTAATCAGAACTTCGGGTGCGCCGTGCCGGAGGACGATGGACTCGATGAAAAACTTGGCGACTTCCACAGCAGTCCCTGAAGGAAGAGCTTTCGTTTCGGCGTACCGCGTGAGATAATCTGTTGCGACGATGATCCAGCGGTTCCCCGACGTCGAAGGCGGAAAAGAACCAAGTAGATCCATTCCGATCTGCTGGAAGGGTGTAGTTGGAGGAGAAATGGGCTGCAGAAGTCCGGCCGGCCTCGTCGGCGGTTTCTTGCGTCGCTGGCACTCGTGGCATGATCGTGTGTATAGGTGGACGGTCTTGGGGAGCTTCGGCCAGTAATACTTTTCACGAATACGGGCCAGTGTCCGGCTGTAACCAAGGTGTCCGGATGTCGGGTCGTCGTGGCAGGCTTGGAAGATCTCCTCTCGAAGGTCACTCGGGATTACCAGCAACCACGGTGTGTTGTTGTCGCCGAAGTTCTCTTTGTAGAGTACACCTTGTCGGATGGCGAAGGTCGGCAGTACTCGTGAGAAGACCCGTGGCACGGTACTCCTGCCCCCTTCCAGGTGCTCGATTAATGCGCGCAGCTCAGGATCGTCCCGTTGACGTCGTGCCATATCGTCGGTGTTCACTGCTCCTAGGAAGCACTCGTCGTCATTGTCGTCGCTGCAGCCGGAAGGAGTTTCGACGGGGGCTCTGGACAGGCAGTCGGCGTCGCTGTGCTTGCGGTCTGACTTATAGACCACTGTCATGTTGACTCTTGTAGTCGAAGACTCCATCGAGCGAGGCGTCCTGACGGGTCCTTCAGGTTCGCAAGCCAGCAGAGCGAGTGGTGGTCCGTGACTACACGGAACGGGCTCCCGTACAAGTACGGACGAAACTTCGTTATTGCCCAGACGACCGCAAGGCATTCTTTCTCAGTCGTGGAGTAATTTTTTTCCGCCTTGGACAATGTCCGACTTGCGTAGGCGATGACTCGCTCGATGCCTTCTTGCACTTGGAGTAGTACTGCGCCCAGTCCCGCGTTACTTGCGTCCGTGTGAATTTCTGTTTCCGCATCCTGGTCGAAATGTCCAAGCACAGGAGGAGTCTGGAGTCGTCGTTTCAGTTCGTCAAATGCCTGCTGTTGCTCCTCGGCCCATTTGAACTTCTCGGCGTCCTTCGTGAGATTCGTAAGTGGTGCGGAAATCTTTGCGAAATCCCGAACGAAGCGTCGATAATAGGCACAAAGTCCAAGGAATCTTCGCACGGCCTTCTTATCTGTCGGCGCTGGAAATGCCGCGACGGCGCGAGTCTTCTCGGGGTCTGGGCGGACGCCTTCGTTACTTACCACGTGGCCTAGAAACTTCAGTTCGTCATAGGCGAACCGACACTTTGATGGTTTGAGGGTGAGTCCAGCGGTCCGTATGGCTTGAAGAACAGCTCGGAGTCGTCGCAAGTGCTCGTCGAAGTCGCTGGAAAACACCACGACGTCATCGAGGTAGACCAGACAGCTCTGCCACTTCAGTCCTGCCAGTACGGTGTCCATAACACGCTGGAAAGTTGCTGGAGCCGTGCACAGTCCGAAGAGCATCACCTTGAATTCGTACAGCCCATCTGGCGTGACGAAAGCTGTCTTCTCTCGGTCCCGTTCGTCGACTTCGATCTGCCAGTAGCCGCTCTTCAGGTCCATCGATGAGAAGTATCGAGAGTGGCGCAGCCGGTCTAACGTGTCGTCGATTCGGGGGAGTGGGTAGACGTCTTTCTTCGTCACCGCGTTCAGCTGCCGGTAGTCCACGCAGAACCGAAGCGTTCCGTCCTTCTTCTTAACCAGTACGACTGGAGAGGCCCACGGACTGCTTGATGGCTGGATTATGTCGTCGTCCAGCATCTCTTGAACTTGCTCCTGGATCACCTCCCTTTCTTTAACGGAGACTCTGTACGGTGATCTATGCACAGGGCGCGCGTCGTCCTCGGTAATGATGCGGTGCTTCGCAACGGCTGTTTGGCATACCTTCGACAACGTCGCAAAGCAGTCACGGTATTCGGCGAGGAGGTTAATCAGCTGCCGTCGTTTCGGGTCCGGAAGCTTAGGGTCGATGTCGAGTTGCGCTGGCGGCGTACCG